GCTAATGATTGCCGAGGACTTACCTGGATGGCATTGTTAACCCCTACACGTTACCTGACGCTAATGATTGCCGAGGACTTACCTGGATGGCATTGTTAACCCCTACACGTTACCTGACGCTAATGATTGCCGAGGACTTACCTGGATGGCATTGTTAACCCCTACACGTTACCTGTTGCTAATGATTGCCGAGAACTTACCTGGATGGCATTTTTAACCCCTACACGTTACCTGACGCTAATGATTGCCGAGGACTTACCTGGATGGCATTGTTAAGCCCTACACGTTAACTGACGCTAATGATTGCCGAAGACTTACCTGGATGGCATTGTTAACCCACATACATTACCTGACGCTAATGATTGCCAAGGACTTACCTGACGCCAATGATTGCCGAGGACTTACCTGGATGGCATTGTTAACCCATATGCATTACCTGCCGCTAATGATTGCCAAGGACTTACCTGACGCTAATGATTGCCGAGGACTTACCTGACGCTAATGATTGCCGAGGACTTACCTGACGCTAATGATTGCCGAGGACTTACCTGGACGGCATTTTTAACCCCTACACGTTACCTGACGCTAATGATTGCCGAGGACTTACCTGACGCTAATGATTGCCGAGGACTTACCTGGATGGCATTGTTAAGCCCTACACGTTACCTGACGCTAATGTTTGCCGAGGACTTACCTGGATGGCAATGTTAAGCCCTACACGTTACCTGTGGCTAATGATTGCCGAGGACTTACCTGGATGGCATTGTTAACCCCTACACGTTACTTGACGCTAATGATTGCCGAGGACTTACCTGGATGGCATTGTTAAGCCCTACACGTTACCTGACGCTAATGATTGCCGAGGACTTACCTGACGCTAATGATTGCCGAGGACTTACCTGGATGGCATTGTTAAGCCCTACACGTTACCTGACGCTAATGATTGCCGAGGACTTACCTGGATGGCATTGTTAACCCCTACACGTTACCTGACGCTAATGATTGCCGAGGACTTACCTGGATGGCATTGTTAACCCCTACACGTTACCTGACGCTAATGATTGCCGAGGACTTACCTGGATGGCATTGTTAACCCCTACACGTTACCTGACGCTAATGATTGCCGAGGACTTACCTGGATGGCATTGTTAACCCCTACACGTTACCTGACGCTAATGATTGCCGAGGACTTACCTGGATGGCATTGTTAACCCCTACACGTTACCTGACGCTAATGATTGCCGAGGACTTACCTGGATGGCATTGTTAACCCCTACACGTTACCTGACGCTAATGATTGCCGAGGACTTACCTGGATGGCATTGTTAACCCCTACACGTTACCTGACGCTAATGATTGCCGAGGACTTACCTGGATGGCATTGTTAACCCCTACACGTTACCTGACGCTAATGATTGCCGAAGACTTACCTGGATGGCATTGTTAACCCATATTCACTACCTGACGCTAATGATTGCCAAGGACTTACCTGACGCTAATGATTGCCGAGGACTATCCTGGATGGCATTGTTAAGCCCTACACGTTAACTGACGCTTATGATTGCCGAAGGCTTACCTGGATGGCATTGTTAACCCATATGCATTCCCTGACGCTAATGATTGCCAAGGACTTACCTGACGCTAATGATTGCCGAGGACTAACCTGGATGGCATTGTTAACCCCTACACGTTACCTGACGCTAATGATTGCCGAGGACTAACCTGGATGGCATTGTTAAGCCCTACACGTTACCTGTGGCTAATGATTGCCGAGGACTTACCTGGATGGCATTGTTAACCCCTACACGTTACTTGACGCTAATGATTGCCGAGGATTTACATGTATGTCATTGTTAACCCCTACACGTTACTTGACGCTAATGATTGCCGAGGATTTACATGTATGTCATTGTTAACCCCTACACGTTACTTGACGCTAATGATTGCCGAATGGCATTGCTAAGCCCTACACGTTACCTGACGCTAATGATTGCCGAGTACTTACCTGGATGGCATTGCTAAGCCCTACACGTTACCTGACGCTAATGATTGCCAAGGACTTACCTGACGCTAATGATTGCCGAGGACTTACCTGACGCTAATGATTGCCGAGGACTTACCTGGATGTCATTGTTAAGCCCTACACGTTACCTGACGCTAATGACTGCCGAGAACTTACCTGGATGGCATTGTTAACCCCTACACGTTACCTGTTGCTAATGATTGCCGAGAACTTACCTGGATGGCATTGTTAAGCCCTACACGTTAACTGACGCTTATGATTGCCGAAGACTTACCTGGATGGCATTGTTAACCCCTATACATTACCTGACGCTAATGATTGCCAAGGACTTACCTGACGCTAATGATTGCCGAGGACTTACCTGGATGGCATTATTAAGCCCTACACGTTACCTGACGCTAATGACTGCCGAGAACTTACCTGGATGGCATTGTTAACCCCTACACGTTACTTGAGGCTAATGATTGCCGAGGATTTACATGTATGTCATTGTTAACCCCTACACGTTACTTGACGCTAATGATTGCCGAGGATTTACCTATATGTCATTGTTAACCCCTACACGTTACTTGACGCTAATGATTTGTTAACCCCTACACGTTACCTGTTGCTAATGATTGCCGAGAACTTACCTGGATGGCATTGTTAACCCCTACACGTTACTTGAGGCTAATGATTGCCGAGGATTTACATGTATGTCATTGTTAACCCCTACACGTTACTTGACGCTAATGATTTGTTAACCCCTACACGTTACCTGTTGCTAATGATTGCCGAGAACTTACCTGGATGGCATTGTTAACCCCTACACGTTACCTGCGGCACGTCCTTTTGACTACGTAGAACCCAATTATATATGTACTATTTATCTAAAATTGCCGTTTTTGCGTACTTACCTAGACAACACAAGTTTGTTTTATATAACAACCTGTTGACTTATGTTATGTAAACAATTTAATTTATACCAATATAACTGCAATCAAAGTCTGTAAGAAAATGGCGTATAGGCCACTGAATTTGTTCAGAAAAAGGCTGATATAAACTAAACAGATATGATATGTAACTTGGTCGTTGTTCAACAAAAGATCATTTAAGTAAAGTCTTACCAGACCCAATAGCTTCACTTAAACATAAGGAGTAGCACTACCTTGTTCCCTTCAGCGTTGAATACATGTATCGACTGGATAGTATGTTATCATTGTTGATAGTCGTAGTTTTAATAAGTTGACTGAGGTATAACAATGCCAAGTCTAAGGATATAGCCAAGAATAAAATGGAAGGCTGGGTTCTTCTTAACATCCCGAATAAGATAAAATGTGTATCGTTTCATGATTGAAATTGTAAGAAAGGGTATTCGTAAACAGGGCTTTATATATTCTTAAAGCATGTGTCTGATATCATTACAAAACATGCATTTAACCAAGTATTGAAATACTCTGGGTAAACATGTTTTGTTCATGTCTATTTCTTATATTCTCACATGTTCAGGATACGGGCAAGACATTACCAGTTAGGATAGCAATATGTTTTCAATTAAATATGGTATTTGTGTGTTGCCGTTAGTGGTGTGTTTCCGCTAAGGACATTCGTCGACAAACGGATTTTCCACTACATATAAAAACTATAATAACGTAGCATTACAGACAATTTTTTTTTATTTAATTTTTTTAGTTTATAATCAATTACTTTGCAATCCTTCGCAAAATGTTTGTATACATATTGAACGATATGACTGTCAAGGAAATACACACAAGTCTTTAGTTAGTTTTGTAGTTTCATGTATAATGGTAGTAACGTTTCAATGCAGTGGGTTGTATGCAATCACACCGTTAGTCTTCTAACCACACATTAATATTTTATGAGAAAGAAAGAAAAAAATATGTGAAATTGTTAAGTTCATATTACAATGCAAGGATAACGTCTAGTTGTCAGTTACGTATTGTGTCGAAGACAAGACCTAATATACATACACTATCTGTCTCCTGGTATCACGTTGTAATATGTTTCCTGTCGTTTCTTATTCTTCAGAGTCGGGAAGAAGGTATATTGGATTGTTGACTACACTGGGCCAAGTGAACAAGTGTTAAATATTAAAATAAAATAACATGTCATAACTGGAATCAATATCATAAGTCTTACTTAACCACTGAACCGAACAGTGAGCGATCGTTTTTGATAACCGTCTTCAAAATCCATATCTTACCGATAACTTAACTATTAAAACATCAAATGTTCATAAAATATCCCTTGATAAGACCCTTCTCTGAGAAATATTCTTTTATAGTGTAAGTGTGATTGTGTATAAACATCCCAAAGAATCGGCTGCAAGAGTAGCATAGCAAATGATCACATTTTTTTCTTATATTTCACGGTGTTTAATTTATGTCAAATTGTATGATCCTATGTTTTTGATCCTGCTTTTAATCTGAATATAGTAACTGCAATTCGCCGAATAAAAATTATCATTTAAAGCATAGATGTTCGGCTATTTCATTAGATACTTCTCACATGATTATGAAAAGTTAATATAATACAGAACTTGCCTGTTACTATTCTGATGTTGTGACTTTTTGCCTGACAAAAAAAAATATCTAGACGTCACGAATTCCATTAACAAGTTGTCTAGTCACATTTTGAAGTCCGGTTTGCGATAGATGAACTTCCTTAGAGATCCGTTAAAAGTACTTTGTCCTCGAAAACTCGTTGAATAAGCATTCCAGAAACATTCTTTTCTTCACCAACACTCGTAAACATATAGGGTAAATAGTTCAGAAAGAAAGCATTAAGAGTTATCGCCCTTTTCTTTATAGTTTTGAATGTTAACAAGGATTTTTCAACTTGACAAGCACTGAAGCCTTATTGGATCACACAAAAGGATTAATAATATTTTGTTTTTGAGTTTGAGATTTATCAGTATCTTAAAATGTTATTCAACAGTTCAATAAAAGTATATCAAAACTAAAACCACAAATTGACATTATTTCTTTGTTTTATTGAATAATTACAAAACATACAGTATAATCAGCACAGACGTCGGGAACACAGCATGAATCAAAATGTTATTCATCAGGACACCCGTACAGGAACACACCATGGATCGGTAAAGGTATTCGTCAGGACACCCGTACAGGAACACAACATGGATCGGTAAAGGTATTCGTCAGGACACTCGTACAGAAACACACCATGGATCGGTAAAGGAATTCGTCAGGACACCCGTACAGGAACACATCATGGATCGGTAAAGGTATTCGTCAGGACACCCGTACAGGAACACATCATGGATCGGTAAAGGTATTCGTCAGGACACACGTACAGGAACACATCATGGATCAGTAAAGGTATTCGTCAGGACACTCGTACAGTAACACACCATGGATCAGTAAAGGTATTCGTCAGGACACTCGTACAGTAACACACCATGGATCAGTAAAGGTATTCGTCAGGACACTCGTACAGTAACACACCATGGATCAGTAAAGGTATTCGTCAGGACACTCGTACAGTAACACACCATGGATCAGTAAAGGTATTCGTCAGGACACCCGTACAGGAACACATCATGGATCAGTAAAGGTATTCGTCAGGACACTCGTACAGGAACACACCATGGATCGGTAAAGGAATTCGTCAGGACACACGTACAGGAACACATCATGGATCGGTAAAGGTATTCGTCAGGACACTCGTACAGGAACACACCATGGATCCATAAAGGTATTCGTTTGGACACACGTAAAGGAACACACCATGGATCAGTAAAGGTATTCGCTTGAACACACGTACAGGAACACATCATGGATCAGTAAAGGTATTCGTCAGGACACTCGTACTGGAACACACCATGGATCAGTAAAGGAATTCGTCAGGACACCCGTACAGGAACACACCATGGATCAGTAAAGGTATTCGTTTGGACACACGTAAAGGAACACACCATGGATCAGTAAAGGTATTCGTTTGAACACACGTACAGGAACACATCATGGATCAGTAAAGGTATTCGTCAGGACACTCGTACAGGAACACACCATGGATCAATAAAGGTATTCGTCAGGACACTCGTACAGGAACACGCCATGGATCAGTAAAGGTATTCGTCAGGACACGCGTACAGGAACACACCATGGATCAGTAATGGTATTCGTCAGGACACTCGTACAGGAACACACCATGGATAAGTAAATTTATTCGTTTGGACACCCGTACTGGAACACACCATGGATCAGTAAAGGTATTCGTCAGGACACCCGTACAGGAACACACCATGGATCAGTAAAGGTATTTGTCAGGACACTCGTACAGGAACACATCATGGATCAGTAAAGGTATTCGTTTGGACACCCGTACAGGAACACACCATGGATCAGTAAAGGGATTCGTTTGGACACACGTACAGGAACACACCATGGATCAATAAAGGTATTCGTCAGGACACTCGTTCAGGAACACACCATGGATCAGTAAAGGTATTCGTTTTGACACCCGTACAGGAACACACCGTGCATCAGTAAAGGTATTCGTCAGGACACCCGTACAGGAACACACCATGGATCAGTAATGGTATTCGTCAGGACACTCGTTCAGGAACACATCATGGATCAGTAAAGGTATTCGTTTGGACACTCGTACAGGAACACACCATGGATCAGTAAAGGTACTCGTTTGGACACTCGTACAGGAACACACCATGGATCAATAAAGATATTCGTCAGGACACTCGTACAGGAACATATCATGGATCAGTTAAGGTATTCGTTTGGACACCCGTACAGGAACACACCATGGATCAGTAAAGGTATTCGTCAGGACCCCCGTACAGGAACAAACCATGGATCAATAAAGGTATTCGTCAGGACACTCGTTCAGGAACACACCATGGATCAGTAAAGGTATTCGTCAGGACACCCGTACAGGAACAAACCATGGATCAATAAAGGTATTCGTTTGGACACTCGTACAGGAACACATCATGGATCAGTAAAGGTATTCGTCAGGACACCCGTACAGGAACAAACCATGGATCAATAAAGGTATTCGTCAGGACACTAGTACCTGAACACATCATGGATTAATAAAGATATTCGTCAGGACACTCGTACTGGAACACATCATGGATCAGTAAAGGTATTCGTTTGGACACACGTACAGGAACACACCATGGATCAGTAAGGGTATTCGTTTGGACACTCGTACAGGAACACACCATGGATCAATAAAGGTATTCGTCAGGACACTCGTACAGGAACACATCATGGATCAGTAAAGGTATTCTTAAGGACACTCGTACAGGAACACACCATAGATCAGTAAAGGTATTCGTCAGGACACCCGTACAGAAAAACACCATGGATCAGTAAAAGTATTCGTTTGGACACACGTACAGGAACACACCATGGATCAGAAAAGGTATTCGTCAGGACACACGTACAGGAACACACCATGGATCAGTTAAGGTGTTCGTGAGGACATTCGTACAGGAACACACCATGGATCAGTAAAGGTATTCGTTTGGACACCCGTACAAGAACACACCATGGATCAGTAAAGGTATTCGTCAGGACATCCGTACAGGAACACACCATGGATCAGTAAAGGAATTCGTCAATGTATTCGAACGTTGGAATGAAATAATGCCTGCAATATAATATTCAATTTTAACAATTCAGTATGTAAATATTGGGTAACAAAATTTACATAGTGATTTACTGTGCAATATTAAAGCATTAGGTTTCATAGAGGGTTTAATATTATAAGCAGTATTCGTATAGATTTGTCTTATATTTGTCTTTTGAACTCACCTCGGAGTTTTTGTTTTCTTTGCCTTTTTCCCGCCTTCCTTTTTGCCCTTTCTGCGTCCACTTCCTTTTTCTTTTGGCTGTCTCGGTTGCTTCGGCTGCTTCGGCTCAAAGTTAGAATTTTTGGTTTTCTGTATTCTGAAAAGCCTGTAATAAACATATATTGTATAGTTAATGCGTTCAGACATCATTGTAACAATCTTAAACTGAACATGACAAATTTTAATAAATATCTACACATTTGTAAGTTGAGAATTTCTGCAACATTTCCTGAATACAATATTGTTAATATCTATACATGAAGAGGATATCAAAGCAGCTTCATGTGAATTTCGAATTACATCGCTCGATTTGCTTTCAAGTCATGTATTTACATCTAGATAAGTTACTCCGTTTCAATAATTACAATTGCGCATGATACAAACCAAAAATGTATGTATTACGTGTTATTTCACCTGATAACAGCTATATCATTACCCATCAATAAAAGTAGGTTGGGCAGGTGATGAAGATGACAGCGATGATTGCCGGCAGTAATTTAATTAAAGCGAGTATATCTTACACGAAAACATTTATTTGTTGCATTTGAAAGCAAATAAACAATCCACGGATACCCAAGATGTTCTCGACTCCTTCAATATCACCCTCTTGGTCATGTGTTATTGGAAAGTATTCTGAGCATATTTTGTTATAGTAATATATAAATCTGCTTGAACTTAGAGAACTTGAGCAATTGTCCAATACATCGCAAAATCGTATCCACATATATATAGCTACAATGTACTATTCTAATACGGCGTCTTTGATTCTGGTGGCAAAGATGATAAATATCTTAATAAAAACTAAAATAAATGCTGTGAAAACAGATATTTTTACCCCATTTTCTTGGTTTCCCGACGAAACACCATTTCGTGGGTACATGAATACGAATATTACGAGTACCAACTAAAATGAAAACTTGTTTTATATCACATTGGTAATAACTTCGTTAACCTGCGTATTTGTGGATGAAGAATACACATGATATCACGGAAATTAAAAACCCAATGAAGGTTAGTGATTTCACAGTTGATGCGTCTGACAAAATTAGTCCGTAAGAAACATTGATGATATGACAAACTGAGTCCGTAAGAAACATTGATGATATGACAAACTGAGTCCGTATGAAACATTGATGATATGACAAACTGAGTCTGTATGAAACATTAATGATATGACAAACTGAGTCCGTATGAAACATTGATGATATGACAAACTGAGTCCGTATGAAACATTGATGATATGACAAACTGAGTCCGTATTGAACATTGATGACATGACAAAAACATATAAGTTTAATATGTGGGCCTTATGGATAGAACAACCTACATCTGGCACTGGTCCGGTACTGTATTGACAAACGCAAACGGTCCTAAACTGCTATGGATGAGAGGCTTGCACGGCAACTGGCCTTCAAGGTTACTTCTATTTCTGAAACTGACTAATGGCCGTCGGATGGTCCTGTGAAAATAAAATATAGGGTACAGTTTAAACTTGAAGTTTATGCATACGCGTTTTAATACTGTTATCAACAAAAAAGGCTTCACGTAAACATCACATCGGCGTCTTTTGTTCAATCTCAGAAATTGCAATACCGAGCCTTGCATTGTGCCTTAGTCCTCAGTAAAAGTTGAGATTTGCTCGCCGGGGTTAGAACTTAATTTTATGATTAAACTGTCCCATGCCTTGATTTAAGTGTAGTTTTATCTGTGGCCAATTGCACCTGGTTGTTATCATGATAGTGACAAATACTGTGGTCTAAGGCAAAACCTTTTATTGTATGGGTATTTGCTGATTAACTAGATTAAAATAGCTATTGAAATATGTTCATCGAAAGGGAAAAATCCGAATTCGTTCCACAAATATTCAATAAAATAAGAAAGAAGATTTACGTTTTTATAATATTTATAGAGTACAGTACAGTAAAAATGTGTGTCTGTTGGAAAGGCAAAAAAAATAAGCAACATAAAAAAAAAAAAAAAAAAAAAAAAAAAACCCCAATTAATATATACCAGTACATATCACGACGTAAAGAACCACCCGTTAAAAGGCAGATAAAACTAATGCAGCTACAATAAGAAGGATATTTTCCCCATTAGAAGTTATCTCTTTAACGTTAATCAAATGTTTAAATCACAGCCAACTTGCAATGAAGGTGGTATAACCAATAATACATCAGGCGCCTTACTTGTGTTTTTTCTTAAACGCCATAATTTCCGTTGACGGCCGTAGTTGGACAGTTTCTGTTGTTACAACCCTGAAATAAACCAAAAAATATTGTAAAATCGAACATTGGCACTACTACTTGTATGACATGTTGCTTGTTTGTCAAAAATGAAACATGATCTGTTTACGTATTTGTATTATATTTAGTAAATTTGGTAGCAATTTCCTTCTTTTTAAAATAGTTGTACAGTAAAATATCTGTAAGATAATGTAACTCTTTTTCTAGTTATCTATGAAATCATCTATATAGATGAATTATTAAAAGGTACACGCACCAAGTAAAGATAAATCATTTAATAGTCAGAAACAAAGAGAGACAACTCAGAAAAAGTATATTTTAAATGTGTTAAGAAATATTTATCCGATATATTGCAATAGAATCTACATACATTTCACAGTTTTCATTAGAGGCTTGATACTCAACGATGAGAGAACCATTTTCCGTTCTGGTCAGTAACCTTGGACACGTGTTTTCTGCTACAGGCGCGACTGTAGCCCCTGTCGATAGCTGGAAACCTGTTTATCAGATAAACATACAAATATCAACACTGTTATAATGTTTGTACAGAAAGAGCATACATTTTACTACCACGTTTTCAGCTGTTCTTTTTTTTTTATTATATAACGTATAAAGAATAACAATTAAATAGAAGGAAAAAACTAAAAAAAATATATTATTTTTTACATTAAATATTGATTCTTTTTCTTCTTTAGATATTGGGGAAAGGCAATTTCAACAATATTTGCAATATTTGTTGGTCGTTGGAGCACATGTGAATAGATAGATAAAAAATATGACATTTCGATTCTGATGAGTTTCCATGTAGTAAGCGAAGCCGTCCACCACAGAAATAGTCTCCACTATATTGGTTCCACTATATATGTTTTATCACAACTAATTACAAAACGTTAAATGTGGTTCGGTAGTCCTAATCCATCGGTGTGGTTTGTGATTAAATTCGAGTTAGATTAACACGTTGTATATCATAACAAGCAGTAATACAATTATATTCGGTTTATGCTGAAAATAATACTTACTTATTTGTAATACTGTAAGAACTCCAATCGTCACGATGTAAAAGGAGTCCATTTTTCACTGAAAGCTTGTCCGTATGTTATTGTAGTCTACAATATAGCAGGTCTAGTGCCAGTCTGACCCTCACAACTTATATATATCTCACAAAAACACTTTCCATGGACCAGAACGCGTCATCATGTGGTGTGTGTTTGAAATGAATATATGGATATGAATTTATGACCATGAACCTTTGACGTCACCTGAGGAACACTCTGGGTTTAAAGTTCACATCGAGTTAGCTTTCTGAAAACTCAAACCAGACAGTATATAATCAATTAGAGTGCATCTCTGCAATATACAATTAATAACTATACAAAATAATTAATGATTAGAAGACGAAAACTGCATTTATATATCGTGGATATATTTTTTATTTTTTATTTTCGTGTTACCCCTCTGGCGCCTCTGATTTTGTCTTTTGTTTGGCGCTTTCTTTATTGCTGTGATTGTCAGTTCTCGTGAATGATGTCATCAATCACACTGACCTCTTAGTGGACAGTCCCTGTACGATGGTCAATAAATAACTACCTAACATCTTATTGTCAACAAAGAAAGGTCAGCACAGGTACATTTCAATGGAATGACGTAGTTTTTGTATTGTCTGTGCTTGATCATTGACAAACTGGTATGGACTTTGAAGTACAGTAGTTATTTGATGCCTATTGACTAAGAGTTAGTTTGAAGGTAGGAATATGGCGACGATTGACTTCCTGTTTAATGGGGGGATATTTTGGAGTGTGGAGGTATATTTGCAACAGGATACTAAGTAAATGGTTGTAGACAAGCGATGTCTACCTAAATAAGTATATCTTCATATATGTTAAACAATCGTTTGTCTACTTAAAGAAAGTGATGTAATTCTTTGCGTAGAATACATTAGAATAACAGGCAACTGTTAGAATTTCGTTTCCGCATAAACGTTACTACTTTCAACTTTTCCATATGACACAATTTCAAACTTTAACGTAAACTTACTTGGGCGTCTTAACCGATAGTGCTTAAACATCTCAGACACACATAATTATATAAATACTTACAATGTCAGCGCTGGATAATCGTTAGGCTCTGTGCAAAATGTCATCAAAATCGAACAAAATTGAAGTCAGAATATTAGAGAGATTAAATGCGTAACGTAATCGGCCTGTATTCGTCACAGGATATTTAAGAATAAGCAGACGAGGGATTCTACGTTAAATCAATAACGGACAGAACATTTTAATAAAAAGAATATGTTAAAGAAACACCAAGTCAATAAGAATTTGCTACAACAAGACAGACCTATAAATATGCATCACAATAAACTGATAAAATATCTCTCTTTTAATAATTAGAAAATATATCGTAAACAACAGGTTTGTTTATACTTACTACGAGTGCATGTGTGTATGTGAGCCAGATTACCAGGCGGTTTGTACCCGGTATATTTACAGACGTTATGCGGTATTGCTTATAAGATATATAACGATCATGAAGCCTAGTTTGTCATAATACAAAATGTAAATTAAGGTTATTACAACGTTCAATGAGATACCTTCTGAATGCGTCACATCAATAAAGGTTTTATTAATTTTACCTGAATTGATACATCTGAATTCTTTATATGTACATTGCACTCACATTGTTTTGAAGATATGCTTCATATTCTTTTCCTTTATCTATTAAGATAACCATGCTTTCGGTGAAACTGAATACCGGCGTCTTGTAGTATAGACAATATGATCTAGGTTAGATTAGCATAGTATCATACAGACCCGCTATAAGTTATATAAACAAGGCTATTTATAGTTTCAATATATTGTCCTACATATCACTAACAGGAAGTTATAATTTGAGTGCAAGGACCTATACGGAGCGTCCCTCTGTAGTATAGCGCCCTATATAATTTCTAAAATCACTCTAAAGCGCTTTATAACATATAGATAATAATATAAGTCATAATTGTGAAACAAAAACAAAGGCTTACAATCACTTTTATACATTTAAGCAAACAATGTACACATACACACACACAACATGTAATTGAACAAACAAAGGGTGGTATTTACATGACGTCTTTGCAGAGACCCTAAAATGCAGATGTGAAGAGGTGAGTTTTGATGTCCATCTTGAATGTTGCCAGTATTGACTTTCTAATAGCAGATGGTAAGCTATTCCACACCGTTGCCGAAACCCTTATCACAAAGCACCGGTTTCAATGTAAATGTTGTAGTCCACACAATTATGTCGATTAATCAATTTGTTTTGTTCATTGTACTTAACTAAATCTAAAACAATTATTTTCAACAAATTATTTTGCAAACAAATCTATTATAAATCGCAAGTATACATATGCATTTATTTTTCGTCTATAATCAACGCATTGTTGCATTTAATGTGTAGTGAAATACCTTTTGTTGTCATATCTATAATTTTGACGTGATTTCGTTTATGTATTCTCAATATGTTATCAGCTATCGAAGCAATGTCGTTACAAGCGTATAGTAAAAACTGTATTCGGAATCTAGTATCGGGAGGCTATTCTATTAAAATTCTGAAAACACGTATTTACATTGGCTCACACACGGAAACGTATGTGTGTATAAATAACTTCCTAGTTGAAGGTCATAGCAGAGACCCGGTAGTATATTGTAATTGTTTAGAATGTATACATTAAATTAATGAAATGGACTACACCCGGCTTTGCTATGTTTTGATTTCCTTGTCAAGCACAGGTAAGAGTTCACACGTGCTAATTACATTATAAAGTCAAAACGTTTGTATACGACTTGGTTGTAGACTTGCCAACATGTTGTGTAGTATAATCCATGAGAGTAGTATGCATTCAATCATTCGCGTGAGGCTTTCTGCTGATCTCTGATGAAAACGTTTTATTATTTGACATTCTATGCATCATTTTACTCATATCGATCAGTTGTTACATGATCTATAGTGAACTTGATACAATTGGCATGAAATACACAAATGTGACAGCCGAATGTGACTGTAGTTATCGTCTGCTCAATGATATGACCAAGGGGACATAACTTAACTATTGTACCGGTACCACTGATGTGTCATAGAATGGAAGCTAATATATATACTTTTGTTGAGGTAAATATGCGGTAATATGGACACGAGAAAGTCTATACAGCCGGTTTTCACGACAATTAGTCCTTAATTGTTATATAAGATGCTAAATGATTTTAATCGCTCAAAATTTGACATTTGACATCATTTGAGAAGGAACTATCGTTGTTAAAATAAAGCGGATTCATTTCGCGCTTTAGATAGTTGATATACCGTAATATCACTTCCAATGGATGTGTAACAATACCAGCAGTCGATTCTTTTGATGTATTATGCTTGTGAAATGTATTACTGTATGTGTAAATACAGTGTATATCCTAGCGATAGCGCCATTCATCATTCTCATGAACACGGCTATGGTTACTCCTTGTACTCTACTTAATATTCCTCTGAGACGATATAATACAGTGCCGTACAGGGAGTATGAACCAGCCTCTCCAGCAAAGTTTAGATCGTAAAAACGTGAAATTCTATAACTTTGTATGTGTTTGTTGGATATTGAAGATGCATACAAATTTGGATTTTATAGATATTACAAAGCCTGCACAAAGCCCGCACGTTTTATAGATATTACAAAGCCTGCACAAAGCCCGCACGTTTTATAGATATTACAAAGCCTGCACAAAGCCCGCACGTTTTATAGATATTACAAAGCCTGCACAAAGCCCGCACGTTTTATACCTTTTTCGTCATATTGCCCGCTGAATCAGAAACCAGTGGAGGGACTTTTTTAATATAGAAAGTCGTAAAGTATGCGGAATATACACAGGCATTTACCGTAAGAGTCACCCTGCTATTTGTTATGATTACACACTAATGAATGGTTGCATTCATAAGTATGTAACATCACATAAAGCAAGATATGATGTAAATACAATCGTAATTAAAAACACAACTAGATATAGTATGAACGTCTGCGATAGGTCAATTTTGCAGCTTTGTATGGTTATTGTTACAGGTGTAAGTGGATTTTCCGTGGTGGTCAGTCCCAGTCCTACAGCCGTGGTCGTGTCCGGTCTTACCCTCAGTATTTCGTGTCAGTGGTCAGCTGACTATACAGGACCAAACGCTGCTGTTAACTACAGACTGAATGATGGCGGGGGTTATATAGGCACAAAGTTTATAAACTTTGGGACAGCATGTCCATCAACACCACCTTTCACACTAACCTGTAACAGAGACACGAGGACACTGGGGATACAGATTCCCGCCAACAGTTACAGTCACGGGGACAGATGGACGTGTGAGGGGAGAAATAACAACTTCGACAATACAACACCACCTCAGACAGACACGACCACTGTTTATGTTGAAGGTACACCCTGTCAGAAATACTTTTAAAATAACGTGTTAATTAAAAGCAATAAAGTAACGTAATTTCGGTTATCAAATTTAGATGTTTGCTTTGTGGTTAATATTCTGTTTTATCATTTTTCACAAAAAGGCGAAGACAGATTTAAGTCTGTAAAAGTGCATTTGAGTTAAGTTACTTAACAAAACAATTGCATTTTTAAAAAACGAGGACTACTTTTCATCACGTTCTATATTACGTACTTTTTATCGCGTTCTATATTACGTACTTTTTATCGCGTTCTATATTACGTACTTTTTATCGCGTTTTATATTACTTTTTTCGAGTTCTGTTCTATCCAATTTATCGAGTTCTATGTTATCTTTTTCCATCTATTTCTATTTTATCCAGTTTATCGAGTTTTATGTTATTTTTTGATCGAGTTATATGTAACTGTTTGAGTTCTATACTATCCTGTTTATGAGTTATATGCTATCCAGTTTATCGAGTTCTTCGTTATTTTGTTATCGAGTTCTATGTTATTTTCTTAGTAACATCAGTGACTATCAGCCCCTCCACCACTGTGGTTGTAGATAAAGATACCGCACTGATATGTTAGTAACATCCTATGTATATATAACAGTTCCTATGACATCAGTGGCTATATATCAACCCCTCCACCACTGTGAGTGTAGGTACCACACGGACGTCTTATTAACATCCTATGTAAATATTACTGTTCCTGTGACATCAGTGACCAGCACCCCCTCCACCACTGTGACTGTAGGTACTACACTGATGTAGCAGTAACATTATATGTATATGTTACAGTTCCTGTGACATCAGTAACCATCTCCCCCTCCACCACTGTGACTGTAAATACTACACTGATGTAGCAGTAACATTATATGTATATATTACAGTTTCTGTGACATCAGTAACCATCACCCCCTCCACCACTGTGACTGTAGATGAAGGTACCAGCACCACACTGACCTGTACCACGCAGCCATACAGTCGTCCTACGGCCAATGTCACATGGTACCAAATGCAAGTGGTCAGTGGTCAGCTACAGCAGATCACCGTCAACATCAGTGTGTCACATGACACTCAGAACTCCGCCCAGACAACCACCAGTGTTCTGTCCTACCTACCGTCCAAGGACAGCGGACGGACGGTGTACTGTGTATCAGACGGAGGACGGCCAGGAAATAGCAGTCTACAGTCAAACACCGTCGCTGTAAACGTCAGATGTATGTATAATATTATACCTTACAACGAGTTTAATATTCCTTGCTTTTATTTTAATATACAGATTGATGTGATATATTGCCAACATAATTCATTTACTAAACTTGTTATCATATGTTCAACTGAGAACACAGCATACCAAATCAAGAGATAATTAAATCAACAATGTCAATTGCAAAAAATAGACGTTATAAAGTTCAGTTTTTATATCATTTTCCTTGACAAATTTGATGTCTTCATACATATTGCGACAAAAAACTTACAAGCTTCAAGTGGACGAAAGTCTTTTGTATTCATGTTCTCTTTGCTAACAACTCCGGTCAATTAAATTTCAAATCGTTTCAAATATTTTGAAGATCGTCCTGCTATCAGCATCGCACCAGAGGATAATCCATACGTCATCACAGAAGGCCAAACAGGTATATCCCTGGTATGTACAGTTACCTCTGCCAATCCACCAGTCACATCTATAATCTGGACAAGGGAGGTAACCGAAGTATCTAACACTGGTGTGTACAATTTGACCACCATCACACCGCGACATTCTGGGGAGTACACTTGTTCTGCCACCAATGATGTTGGAACAACGATAGAAAGCATAACTTTGTTAGTTATATGTGAGTATTGTAAACAAATTATAAATTATAAATCCACAAAGTATTTGCAGTGAGTCTGAATATTGTTCATTATAAAGTCGTCTTACCTCACCCTATTCTTTTTTCTAATTTGTCATTTTTTTTTTTTATCTAGTTTGTAACTTTAATCGGGTCATAACTGACATCGGGTTATAGATTGTTCATGAATTATATGCGTTTTTGGAAGAAGATAAGCACGTTTCATTACGTTGTATAACATTAAGCTGTGCCCGCGTCCTTAATGCAATTACTTGATATGAACCGGGATGATAGGAGCCCGAAAAATTAACAGTAACAATCGTACAGATAATGAAGTCATTTGTGATTAAAACAGATGTTTAAACTTGACCTAGCTATCCAATGTTACTGAATAACTCACCGTTAAATATGTTATAGCGTCCCCGGCAGAACCAAACATAGTTGGGATCACGAATGTGTCGTCATCCTCACTCACAGTGAAATGGAGTCCAAACGACAAGAGTAGTGCACCAAGTACATTCAATATTAGTCACAGATGTAAACACTGTGAGGTCCCTGATAGCACGTCCATTGGTCGTATTACCAGTAAGGACGTATATTCAACAACATTCACCAATCTACTGCCTGAAACTCTTTACTATGTAAACATCACGGCTATTAACCAAGGCGGTTCCAGTAGTCCACTGGATTTAATTGTGGCCACTTCACCAGGTTTGTTTAACAAGAATTGTGTGTTGATAAGGACCAGTGTTTACCACAACGGTGTTCTGAGGTTCATCTTTAGTAAAGGACACTGCATGAGATGGTTCTATTTTTATGACTCTGCAGGACAAATTATTAACTTTGACAAATTCAAATATTTTCAATATCTAGCAAAACTGTTGATTGTTAAGTTGCAATTTATCAAATGCTAATATGTTGACTAACTTTATCATCATCTTCGAGTACAATGCACATCGTTGATCAGTTAAAAGCAATATATTATCAACGATTTGTTGCAAATATATAACTTACTAATCTTAAAACAAATGTATCTTTTGTTTTGCAGATGAAACTTGTTACTCTTCGTTAAAAGATTCCAGCTCTTCTCCTACGGCCTTGCTAGTGGTTGGTGCGATTTTAATTTTGATATCATTTGGTGTTTTGGGGTTTTCGATCTTTCTGTATAGTAAGTATACTTTTTACCGATATAATTGATGCTTAACCATTAGTTTTAACTTGTGTTGTCATGTCCGTTAAGCATATTCTCTATTCTATAAGTATGTGACAAAATAAAGATCACGTGATAATTCTTAGAATGGTTAAAAATAAGTTACAAAGGTTATCGAATAAATTAATGTATTATAGAGCATGTAAACACATAAGGTTCATTTGATCACTGCTTTGTATAAACTAAAAGTTCTCATCGAAAGAGGAAATAAACACAAGTGCAAAAACGGACCGTGTAAACACAGTGAATCAAGTGATAGACAGGGAAAAGTCTTGGATCTTGGACAGAGAGAATAACAAATAAGTCAGATCAGAAGACAGTTGCCCGCTTTGTACAGAGACCCAGTGGAGACATCGGCTTAGCCAGGTTTACAACACCTTGTTCACCACTACATTAAACAAGGGGACGTAACCCCTGATGCTCAAGCGTCAACAGTTGCTTTGCTTGTGATTTGTCAGTGAATCTGCATGGCAGTGATCAGACGAACCTTATTTATCAGATTCAAAAGTGTATTTTTAAGAAGAAAAAAGTGAAACCGAAGCAATTGAAATTTTATGAAGATACTGGTGTTATAAGGTAATGCCTTGTGTTATTTAGATAAAACATGTCTAGTGAAACGTTCCGTGTATGCTTTGCTCTCTGTCAGATTAACCTGCGAACATTTATACAGTATAATATACAGTTATGTTACTATTATATTCCAGGAAAGTCACGTTCGCCAGCCAGGTAACTTTAAATTGATGATATACTCTCTTACTGTGAAATGTTACGATTACCAATGATAAAGAAATGAAATTTCGTGTATTGTCGATTTGTTGGTAAATCAAAGTTATGTCTGGAATTTGTAACCATCTTATGTTACACATGTACCTATTGAGAGGAAGAGAAGTAATGGTTACACCCCCTGCTGTTATTTTTTGTTTATTTTTGTTTTCATTCTGTACATTTATCCAACAACCATCCTAGGCACCACCTTATTTTCTTTTCACGTTACTACGATAAAACAGCGGTACACAGTCTAAACTGAGCCATGTCACTCCTACAATATAAAGTAATGTAATGATTATACCGACCTCATTCCTAGCAATGGTTTCATTAAACAGTAAACTACACTATCACAGACGATATATATTTTGTGTGTGTAATATTTAAGCCCTATCTGTTTTAATCTCACTCAAATTGTCAGATATTGCAATCTTCAATCCGTTTATTGCATTCTAATTTTCGGGCATTGATTAATGTTAAGATGATATGTAACGACTAATGCTTTTCAGTCTGGTATGAATTTAAGTCTGTCAGCCGTAGGTGATCAGGGGACCGTACATTGATATATCATGGTATTATAGACCTCAACAGTCCAGTGTTTATAGACTTATATGTCTTTAATGGTTTGATGGGGTGTCTCATTCATTACACCAGTACAACTAATGCGTAGTATCTTTCATTGAATGCTCTGCATAAATAAAACACAAAAAGCGCGTGTTTTCAATTAACAGTTTAAAGCTATTCAGTATTGTCTGATATTGATAATTTGAAAGCCAATTAATGTCAGAATCATGCATAATGATTTGTTTTCATCAAATAGTCAATCTAATATAAGTGTACTTTTCAGACCTGTCGACCAACAAGAAGGCTCTCCGAAGTCGGTTGTATTCAGCAGTGTTCTGCGTTCAGACAAAGGTACACGTATTACATTAAAATTAGCTAATACCCTTATCTGCCTAATTTAAATTATAAACATATTCATACAATACAATTGGTCATATACATATATATTTTGTTTGTTGAACGACAGTTCTTTTTATATATACATTTTTAAAAATTGTTATATGCCTGGCATTCGGTTGAAATATGTCGTTACAAAACAGTAATACACTATATCTAGAATGTTTGACCTTTTCAGAAAGGGAGCAGGTGACCGCAGAAGAAAAGTATGTATGCTTTTTAAAGCAGAGTCCTTATATCATTTCATATGGTAACGTCGTAAATTATAATTGTTTTGCAATGTATAGGAACACTGTGAAATTCAAAGGTAATTCTCAATCATCATTAAAGTTTATAGGTTTTGTGAAACACAATATCAACATGTAATTTGAATGACAGATTATTTTTAACAAAAATACATCACGAGGATACTGGGACACGTTCTAGAGCTGTACATACATACATAGCCATTTATACCAAAGTAACATAAATACACGTTTATGTTTGTTCATATCTTCATAGTAAATCCCACTACCAGGAGCTGGATCCACGTGACATACAACCTCCGTCACCGTATGAGAGTCTCCCAGAAGGTACGTTGAAATATTTGATTTTATATAATGCATTCCATCTTAATCTGTATCAACTGTATCCTTTACGAAACAGATTTTCTTTATTTCATTGTTTTCACTTTTTATCCAGATATACCTGTTTTATAAATATATTAACTATTTTTAATTGTAATTCATTAAACTGACACAGATAGCATAAAAGTATAGAGGGACAGTCACCCCACAATTATATATATATATATATATTGTTTGTACAGGTGACGATGATGCTAGGATCGAATGTGAAAGGTAAGTACTCTGTTCACCTCAGAATGAATCTAACTTTAGCTTTACCTTGAATGCGGAATTTAAGTTATATTCATTTTCGCTGGCAATGTGAAATTTCCTTCGTTTGTTTTGAAAAGTATGCATGATTTTGATAGTATTTAAACTGTTTTATTTTCGAGCTTCTAATGCAGATATGGAAAAAACTTGAAATGATAATCAGTTATTAAAACCTGTTATTAAAATCATGGTGTATTAAACTGCATAGGCCACGACACTTTTCTAACAGATCAATTGTTTACATTCAATAGGTAGTTTAACTTTAAGATAAACACATGTTTGAATGTTTCCATTGCAGGAACAATTACGAATCCCTCAAAGGAGATCCAGTCAAACAGGATTACGAACAACTCCGGGAAGGTGATGGTTGGTAGTCCTTCATATACAAATATTTATCCAGTATACCTACAAAATGTATATGGTGCCTATTAGGAAAGTCGCATAATTTGAACAATGCATAGAAATACGTTATATGATCAGTCGAACTGAATACAAATAATCACAATTGCAGATGTAATTTATATGTACCTAATTCGTCCTGAAACTGAATAAGATATACATTTTAAAGCATATTTTTATGTTCGTAACATTGTTTTAAGTATAAAATGTAAAATCCACAAAAACATTTTTTCTCAATGTAAGCAAAACTTTTTTGAACGGTCACTTATAATTTAGACTTCATGAAACGCAATGTACTTATTATTTTACGCTTATGGTGAATGGTTCATTCCAATCGCAATTCGTATTTTGGAAAGGATTTTTTTTTTTTATTCATTTCAGGATCCAAACATTACGTAAATACCTGACGAAGAGCTCGACGAATGCAATACCAGATGACGTCATCATGTGAATACTATGATATTCTGAAACACACAGCACTACAAACAGTTTAACACAATTGTTATGGGATTATCAATTCCAGTATATTTGCTGACGTCCTCTGCCATTGATATCGTTTTTATACCGAGTTTCCTGACGGTCACAGTACAACGACAACACAGAACGGATACAACGACAACACGGGACTGTTGACTGATAAGGCATGAAACAACTGTATAATAGCATCTAGAACATACCTGCCGGGACCTAACAACATCTAAAACACACAGCACTACAAACAGTTTATCAAGCCGAGTCATCTCAGCGGACTCACTAGAGGTGTTTAAGAAGAGGCTGCAGATAGACAGTGATCACGTGTTGTGGGTTGTATTTTATGACGACGGGTATTGTTTGAAACTAATCCAGTATTACAAATAAACATTGATCATTGTAGTAAAATCACTTTATTATACATAACTCATTACCAATCGTCACGTGACTGATACATTTGATTAACCATGGAAACCGTAAATGGAAACAACCAAACAGTAACTACTCACATATACATCTGTATGATTACGCGTGATCGGCATTATATAAAATGCATTTTCGGTTGACCACGAAGATCAATGTAACAGTAAATATCAAAACGTTCTGCCAGTAAGTGAATTGATTTAAATATCAACAGGTTTTTATTACATTACAGACGACTGTGAATAGGGTCCAAACGAGTTGATAATTCCTCTGTGTCAAAACGATAAAAATATTGCTGAAACGTAATAGCAGTTTATTTTTAAAGCTTCTGGTTTAATAACAAGGCTCTGTATTTCGTAAATAAAGTTCTTCTGCTATTATATAAGGGTGTGCCGCTGTATTTCCATATATCCAATTCTGGTTAATATATACATGGTATCTGTAGGGTGATAGTGGAATCATTAACGCACGGGACAGTATTGTTAACAGGGGACAGTGCATAACTGATCCTTTGTTATTGTTTGATACGTCATTGATCATCTCTTCAACTGATACTTCAAGTTACATCTGGACATTGCGAAACGTTATTTCTTTTACAACAATTATGAAGCAAGTTAATTTAACTTTTATTAGAAATATAAGTCTTGTGTAATGATAGTCCAACAAGCATCGTGCCTATTTATTGATAATAAGTGCAGAAATGTTCCGATTTATAGAGCTATGCCTTCGATATGCACGTTCTTCTATTCGTATTTGTCTGACCAGTTCCCAATTGTTTGAAATTAGCCTGATTATACCCGTATTGGTTCAGTTTTACAGATATATCAGTGACAGTATTACCATATTTGTATCTGCAAGTAGTTAATAAATTATTACAATTATCCCTGTGACATACAGTTCTATTTTTAATTGAAACGTAAAGTTTTCAAATTTTATTTTATTATATTCAATTGTATAACTGTGTTAACCTATCGTTTTATAAAAAGCAAGACCTCCATTATTTGCAATATAAAGGAAATGTAGGTAATTAAAAGATATTGAAAAATTGACAAGGTGGCTCAAACAATATTGTCTAAATGCGCTGCTATAATACAAATTCTACAATCTAAATTATAGCTTTCTGTCAATACATCGATTCCGACTTTTGAAATTCAGGAATCCCATAGATATCGAATCACCATGCAACATGTCAACATCCTGGTTTTTGGAAGTAGGGGTGTTGCTATCAGTAAACACAAAGTTAACAATTGGAAAATTGTCATGTGTATTATACAGCTTAATAGTAACACATCTCTGTTGGTCATGTTAAAGTTAAGATCGAGTTAACTGGTTGATGAGGACGGTAATAGATCATTCGGTTTCAATATCAGGGGGTTTGTACCATCGACTTGGTCAATACATGTCATAAACTAATTAGAGAAGTTACCTTATCTTTCAAATATCTGAAAGTAAAATCAAAGGACTTAGCAATGTACCCTGATAAGGTCTTAATGACTGATTGAAGGTCTTAATAAATGATTTCTTGCATTAAAACAAAACAAAATATGGTAAGAGAGGGACACCGCGCTTACAGTTTGCTGATATTGCAAAAGACTAACATATTTGTTTTCACGATTTTCCCCCTATTGTTTTCAACAAAATAATCCCAAAATTAGTCGACAGCTATATATTGTTTATCGACGTTTGCCTTGCGTGGATAAGATGGCTGTTATGATAATAGAATATGATAGATTCCTTTAGTTTTGTATAAGGTTTTGTAAAGAGTAGCCATGTCAAATGTGCTAGAGGATGAAATATGAAATATTTTCAATGAAAGTATGATAATTAAGGAAAAATAACTGGAAAATATCAAAGTTGCAATAAAACCATAATTCAAACTAAAAATGGATAAAAATAGTGCAAACAGTACAAAGGAAAGCATTGTATGGAGTATGGACACCCTCGGTGTTATCAAAGCATTGTATGGAGTATGGACACCCTCGGTGTTATCAAATCATTGTATGGAGTATGGACACCTTCGGTGTTATCAAATCATTGTATGGAGTATAGACACCATCGGTGTTATCAAAGCATTGTATGGAGTATGGACACCCTCGGTGTTATCAAATCATTGTATGGAGTACGGACACCCTCGGTGTTATCAAATCGTGAATATGTTTCCGGTTATCTTGATGATTGCGTGGTATTGTGTATTCGGTTTGCACAATCGGGAGACTACCGGTTTGGGCACTAGATCTTCCGACGTGAAAATCCTGATAATCCTCGTTCCCAATATACAAAAAGAAACTGGTTATGATATCACACAAAAATACAACTATATCGATGATAACGAAACAATTAAAATAACACAAGTGTCAATATAATTCACTTACAATTGTTTTATTTTAAGATAAGAAATTGTACAGGTGAAATAAACAATCGATTATAGGCAGGTATAAAGTCAATGAGATAATTATGGAATGCTTTAGAATAAAAATATAATGTTAACGCGCAATAACTATTTTTTGGGGATAGTGTGATCCAAATAACTACGTCATTTTTTGTTCTTTGTTTTTATATCGGAATTAATTGTACAGCTGCAGTGAACGGCTATACCAAAGTTGAACGCAGCCATATTTTTTTTAAATCAGAAAAGAAAAATATTAATAACGCATAGCATTCATTTTACAACGGATATATGTGTATGAAATCACTTACCTGATAATACAAAATCAAACCTTAATGTTAGCATAAGGAAACAATATTCATACAACATTTAAACATAACAATACAATATTCATATCATATGCAAATATTATACAATGGTTATCGAATATATAGATATAACGATAAAATGATTAAACATGCCAGTATAACGGTGTAATAATAAAACAACATGTAAATATAACTATACAGTATTCATATAACCTATATATCAGTCGTATCATGATCATTTCTACCACGTCTGTAATGTAACGATACTTTACATTGGCTAATAACCTTGTGTTATTTTCCGACAGATCATGTTCATTGTACGTGCTACCCTGTTATAAATAAAACTCCCGAATAATTGCAAACATACACAACTCATGCAGACTTTGAACCCGCGACCCAGTGGGGGAGGGGAGCGCTAGATGTAGCAGAATGTCATAGGCCTTAACCAATGGGCTTCTCCGGTTCCTCAGTAGTTATATAATATATAAATATAATGATACAATTATTATACAATATATCAATATTTTTATACAAAAGTCATATGCTATAACAATATAATGATACCATAGGCATATAACATTAATATACTTAAACCTTCATCACATATCAATATATTGACACAATAACCATGAAATATGTTAATACAAAGATTAATGAGTCATACAATACGTTAACCTAATGATAAAATAACCATAAACATATTCATATTATTATTCAATAGTCATATAATATTTAATGATACCACAGTCGTATAATGTATCAATATACCGGTACAATAGTCCTACAATATATCAATATAATGATACCATAGTCGTATAATGTATCAATATACCGCTACAATAGTCCTATAATATATCAATATAATGATACAATAGTCGTATAATGTATCAATATACCGGTACAATAGTCCTACAATATATCAATATAATGATACCATAGTCGTATAATGTATCAATATACTGGTACAATAGGATAATTATATATCAATACAATGATACCACAGTCGTATACCGTATCAATATACCGGTACAAAAGTCCTATACTTTATCAGTATAATGATACCATAGTCGTATAATATATCAATATACCGGTACAAAAGTCTTATAATATGTCAATACAATTATACCACATTCGAATAATGTATCAATATACCGGTACAATAGTCCTATAATATATCAATATAATGATACCATAGTCGTATAATGTATCAATATACTGGTACAATAGTCCTATAATATATCAACATAATGATACCACAGTCGTATAATGTATCAATATCCTGGTACAATAGTCCTATAATATATCAATTTACTGATACAATAGTCGTATAATGTATCAATAAACCGGTAAAATAATCCTATAATATATCAATATAATGATACAATAGTCGTATAATGTATCAATAAACCGGTAAAATAGTCCTATAATATATCAATATAATGATACCATAGTCGTATGATATATCAATATAACGGTACAAAAGTCCTATATTTATCAATATAATGATAACATAGTCGTATAATGTAACAATATACCGGTACAATGGGATTTAGTCGTATAATGTATCAATATCCCGGTAAAATAGTCCTATAATATATCAGTATAATGATACCATAGTCGTATGATATATCAATATAACGGTACAAAAGTCCTATATTTATCAATATAATGATACCATATTCGTATAATATATCAATATAACGATACAATAGTCGTATATTGTATCAATAAACCGGTAAAATAATCCTATAATATATCAATATAATGATACCATAGTCGTATAATATATCAATATAACGGTACAAAAGTCCTATATTTTATCAATATAATGATACCATAGTCGTATAATGTATCAATATACCGGTACAATAGGATTATAATATATCAATATACCGGTACAATAGTCCTAAAATGTATCAATATACCGGTACAATAGTCGTATAATATATCAATACAATGATACCATAGTCGCATAATGTATCAATATACCGTTACAATAGTCCTATAATATATCAATAAAATGATACCATAGTCGTATAAGGTATCATTATACCAGTACAATAGTCCTATAATATATATTAATACAATGATACCATAGTAGTATAAGGTATCATTATACCGGTACAATAGGATTATAATATATCAATATAATGATACGACTATAATATTATTGTATTGATATATTGTATGACTATGGTACCGGTATATTAATACATTATACTGGTACAATAGGATTATTATATATCAATACAATGATACCACAGTCGTATAATGTATCAATATACCGGTTCAATAGGATTATAAAATATCAATATAATGATATCATAGTCGTATAATATATCAATATACCGGTACAAAAGTCTTATAATATGTGAATACAATTATACCACATTCGAATAATGTATCAATATACCGGTACAATATATCAATATAATGATACAATAGTCGTATAATGTATCAATATACCGGTACAATATATCAATATAATGATACAATAGTCGTATAATGTATCAATAAACCGGTAAAATAATCCTATAATATATCAATATAATGATACCTTAGTCGTATACTGTATCAATATACCGGTACAATGGGATTATAAAATATCAATATAATGATACCATAGTCGTATAATATATCAATACACCGGTACAATAGTCCTAAATATATATCAATATAATGATACAAAAGTCGAATAATGTATCAATATACTGGTACAATAGTCCTATAATAAATAGTCGGATAATGTATCAATATACCGGTACAATAGTCCTATAATATATCATTATAATGATACAATAGTGGTATAATGTATCAATATACCGGTACAATGGGATTATAAAATATCAATATAATGATACCATAGTCGTATAATATATCAATATACCGGTACAAAAGTCTTATAATATGTCAATACAATTATACCACATTCGAATAATGTATCAATATACCGGTACAATAGCCCTATAATATATCAATTTACTGATACAATAGTCGTATAATGTATCAATATACCGGTGCAATAGTCCTATAATATATCAATATAATGATACAATAGTCGAATAATATATCAATATACTGGTACAATAGTCCTATAATAAATAGTCGGATAATGTATCAATATACCGGTACAATAGCCCTATAATATATCAATATAATGATACAATAGTCGAATAATATATCAATATAC